TACTATAATAATATACTGTTGCAGTATAACTATATACTCCTATAGTATATTGTATACTGTTAGGTAGCTATGTTCTTCTTCAATTATTACAATATACCGTTGCAGTATATTGTAAACTATAATAGCATACTGTTGTAGTATAGCTAGATACTCCTAAAGCATATTGTATACCGTAGCAGTATACTATTGGATAGCTGTGTTCTTCTTCGATTTCCAGCTGAAAATTTTGATCTCAATCACCTCAAATCAGCTCCAAATGCTATTAAATTTCAGTATGAACTTCCAGAAGGTACTATAAGCAATATTTAACAGCACCCACTTTGAATCAAACAAGAAATCTTCAAAAATAAAATTGAGCTTCAAGCCCAACAATGGTAGATATTCAAAAATACATAAAGATTTAGATCTGGGAAGCTTACTCGAAGATACTATAAACAATATTTTATAGCACCACATCGAATCAAACAATAAATCTTCAAAATAAAATTTTAAATTCTGGAGCTTCAAGCTCAACAATGGTGGGTCTTCATACACACATAAAAATCATAAGAAGAGGAGGTAGAGCAATAGCTTGGGTTGACCCTCTTAATGAAGATCTTTTTTAAATTTTGGATCTGGATTTTGCTTCACAGTGTGGTTGTTATGAATGGAGGATTATGGTGTTTTTTTTGCTTCATTGAGATTTGCGCACAAGACCTAAATATTTTCAAATTCTTCGTCTGAAGGTTTCTCCCGACGTAACGTTAATTTTGCCGGGTAAATAGTATTGGTTGCATAGGTAGGAAAAGTAAATAGTTTAGGTTTGAGTATCTAAAGGTAAATAGTTTGGGATTAATGAGTATAAAGTGAGATTTTCTCATTTCAAATCATCTTGTTACATAAAATTTTTCGGAATTGACTTTTTTGTTTTCTTTTCCACAATTTTAAAAATTGAAGTACATTTCCAAACTTTAATTACTCCAGCTTTTTTAAAACCTTTCTTTCTTATTTTGTTTTTCTAGAAAATTAATATCTGTTAAGGTGAAAGATGTATATGTCTTATATAGTTGATTAACAAGCAGTCAAAAATCATAAAATATAAAACAAGAGAAACTTATTAAAGAAAGGCAAAAAGAGAGAGTAACAATCCAACTTACTCATCTTTTATTATTTGAAACCTTCAAGAAATTTATGTAATACTAGAATCAATTAGAAAGCACATCTTTAAAACTTTTTAAAATCATCTAAAAAGAATGGTACTATAATTTTAAGTCAGAGTACTGGAGGTCTTTCGAATTTAAATTTTAGATGGAATACATGGAGAAAAGAAAATTTTGAATGGTCCCTTATGTATAAGGGTAATACCGTCTTTATCTCGATATTTAATTTTGAATGGTCCATAATATTTACAAAAAGTGGACACTTTAGTTGAAGACAATTTTGAAACCCTAAAATTAGTGGTAACTTTAATTTTTAATGGAGCTACAATAATCATATTAACGATACAAAAGAACCACACTTATTCTTTCCACATAAATCATAATATCGATTATTTTCGTCAACATATCTATGCACCAAGAAATTTTCTTTAAGTACTTGACTATACTCATTTTTAAGGCTGATGTAGTATATAAGTTTGGTTATGAAGATTGTTTACCCTTAAAATTGGATAACAATTAAATTTATAATGTGGTTTTAAGGACACGTGATTTCACCTAATACCAATTGATAAATGCAAAGAATAATAATAGAAATTAACAATAATATAAAGCAAACCAGTGTTTGAACGGAATTCAGCCCTCGAGCTTGAATACCCTCGAACTAATTTGTGCAAGAACAGTTAAAATATAACAAGCTGATGAACAGGAATATGAACTATAGAAAAGCGTTTATTGCTTTGATATCCCAGAGTGTAAGGTGCTTACAAAATGATTACGTCCCTCTTTATATAGTAGATGAATCCTATCTATGGTACAATTCTAATTATGGAAGTAAATCCTATGACTATCCTAAACAACTGGCTTTGATTTGATACGTTCCGAGATTTCTGCCATGATCTTCATCAGTCACGGATATCTCGCTTTTCTGTTATTGCGCTTTGCTTGAAGTCTGCCCTGTTTGGTCGCGATCGCTGTCGGCCTCGATCTCGACAGGTACCTCGATTCCCGAACTCGATCCCTTATCTTCGTTATTTTGATCTGCTCCACTACGAGGCTGACCCTCGATGCAACTCCCTGGTCTCGATCAAATAGTAAAATCGGGTAGGCCCAGTTTTTACCGTATACAGATAGTCCCCTCGTTTCTTGGAATGTAATGAGGAGAAAAGAATTGATCATTCGATTTTATACACCGACCTGTCATGACGTCATCCTCGTGACGTAAGCGACGGAATTGATTGAAACGTCCCGTCGATACAGTTCCCAAAGTCATTAATGAGCGTCAGTTGGTAGTCGGCCACCAGTGCCTTTGAACCATCGCCGTGAATCCCTTAAATAGGCCCCTTCTCTTATTGATTCAATCTTTACTTTCACTCCCTTCTAATCCCTTAAGTTTTTTACATCTCTTAAGCTTTTCCGTTCTGCATAATCTCTAGGTTTCGTTATCAAACTTCCCTCAAAACACCATTCTCTTCTTCTTTCTTTAAACTTATACGAAAAATGGCAAAATCGTCAAAAACTGGTCCTTTAAAGGAAAAAGCTTCTTCATCGCGGCCGGCCGGTGATAAAACACCAGTGGAGCCACGCCCTAAGGAGTGTGTTCCCGGGGGCTGCGAACTTACTCCGACTTCAAAGTCGAGAAAACTTCGTCGGTCCCTGGTCTATGTGAGCCAATGTCGAGATATATATGCTCGATAACTAAGGGTGACCTTGAGCAGGTGAAGAAAGACTTCCATTGGGAAGATAAATAGGTGGTGATTTCGGCCCCCGAAGAAAACATCACCACCCATGTGAAAGGGTTTCTAAGTGTTTACACTTACCCTTCTATGCTGAGCCCTGTCGATCCCATCATCATCGATTTTTGCCGTCAATATCAAATAACCCTAGGTCAGATCCATCCCTCTTTTTGGCAAATTGTCATTCTTCTCTGATTCTTCGCGAGCCATGTCGAAGGGATGTCTTGCACCCTCGACCATCTCATCAGGTTGTACAGCCCCTATCTCTATCGAGGCTGGTTAATAAGGCTTCAGCATCGAGCTACCAAAGTGCTTATCTTGAGCATAGATGAGGACAAGGATCGAGGATGGATGGGCCGGTTCGTTCGAGTGAAGACTTCCGACCTAATCCTAGCCGAGAAGATGCCATTTCCCGAGAAATGGAATATGAAGCGTAAGTACAATCCCACCTGTAGCTTCTATTTATTGTTTTGTTTCCTTTGCTTTTTCTCATTAACATCCCTTCCTATGATATAGTGGTCTCTTGGATGCCCGGTTCAATTCATAGCCTGGAGAGCTGGGTTCGGAAACTGGCTTCGACCTCTTCGTATGCTGAGCGCTCATGGCATGATTTGGCAAGGGGCCGATGGGAGGCCAAAAATCATGGTAAGCCCCTTTTCATATATTTGATGAACTTTTCTGAAATGTTTCTTTTCATACTCACTTGATTTCCTTTCGTACAGGCCTCGGAGAAAATGCTGTCATGAGGCCCCCGTCCGAGGAGGAAGAGGTGTCGCCCCCGGCCCCGAAACCGGCAAAGGATAAAAAAAGAAAAAGGGTCCCGACCTCTGAGGACCCAAAGCCCAAAAAAGTAAGGCTCGTAAGACGAAGAAAGACACCGTCGTCCTGCCTGCGGAGGTAGTTCAACGGCTAAGAGAAGAAGAAGAAGAAGAAGAAGAAGAAGAAAACGAGGACGGCGGCTCCGAGCTGGTGGCCTGAGTGAAGAGGATCGCCGAGGCCCCAAAGGACTCTGAGTCAGTGAGGGTTGGAGAAATCCAGTCTCGAATCGAGGGGGTCTCGGAAGAGGACCCGGGCAAAGCCCCCGAGTTGTTGGAGACTGAAAATGCCTCCCGCCGAGATGAGCAGTCAGCAGGTATGTCCGAAGGGGCCGGCTTCGAGGCCCTTCGAAATGAAGAGAACACCCCAAGTGATTCACTTGGGGCAATAGAAATTGGGAACTCCCCGCCGCTTCCTTCGTTCTCGGAAGGGGAAGTTTGGGAGGCTCAGGCTATGAAGGCCCCTCAGGTAGAAGGTGCCCTCGGGGGGGGGGGGGGGAAGACCTTTTCCAAAGTTGTTTTGACGGGGTCGATGTTGTCGCCGACTTGAATGACTTGGCCGTATCGAGGAGAAGCTTGGGCGAAACTTCCTCGAGTTTCAGATTGACCAGCTAGTTCCCAGCCCCCAGTGTCAATCCTGAGTGCAAACGGACCGTCATTATTACGGTCCCGGAGGATGCACGAGTTTTTGCCGCCCCCATAAGGGTGGACAGTTACCTTCAAGGTCTGGTCATCGAGGAGGATCAAGCTCTGATGGACGAGGGATCACCATGCCTCTTCAATGAGGACCAGCAAGCTTTGAATCGGGTAAGCCCTAACCTTTTTTGTTGACGCCGGTCTTCATACTTGTGTTTTTCCCTCTTTGCCTAATTCTTTCCCTTCTATCTGTGTAGGCCTCGGTACTTCATCATGAGGCTTTCTTCAAGTCTCGAAGAGAGTTGATCCGATATGAAGCTAAAATACGAGTGCTTACCGAGGAGAAAAATACTCTCAAGCTTCTTGGTGAGCAAAAAGAAAAAGAAAAAGAAATCAAAGGTCTCTGAGTTGAGTTGGCCGTGGCCTAGAAAGAACAAAGTGAACTGACCGAGCAGGTAAATAAAGTCTTAGACGCTTATGGCCTCGGTTTGGGAGTGATGGCTAATGATTCGATCTCACAGGTCCAACGGCTGCATGAAATGATTGTGCAACTCCGAGGAGAGGTAGATGAGGCGAAGGCAGAGACTTCATTGTGGAAGCAAAAGATAGATCGCCTTGCCTTGGAGAAAGAGGCAGCTCGAGCTCAGTTATCCTTAACCGAAAGCCAACTCTAAGGCATGAAAGAGAAGAGCTTGGAACAAGCCAAGAAAATTGAGGAGCTACAGGCTCGGTTGGACACGGAGATTGCAGCGGCGAAATCTGAGGCTGAGACAGTTAAGGCCGATGCTGAGGCGATCGTGGCTGTCTACCGACCTGACGCCGAGGCCGCTCAAGCTCGAGCAAAAGAAGTTTCTGACGCTGCTCAGGCTCGAGCATACTGGGTTGCCGAGCATGCCAAATGCCAGTCTCGAAGAGAGACTCTTGAGGAGATTCATGCTCGTGGCTTTAACCTTGCTGTCGAGATCAAGAATGCGAAAGAGCTTGAGGCTGAAGCCAAAGCGTTGCTCTCTTCTGATGATGATGATTTTGGGAGTGTAAGTGGATCTGAGAGCGGAGGAGATCCAGATGGCGATGATGTAGCTCCCGAGGAAAATTAGGCACTTAGGATTTTTTCTTTTTGAATTTTTGTGTAGGTCCCTGATTGGTCCTTGTAAATAGTTTCATATGTATAAAAGATCTCCTTGCTTTTTGACTTGTCTTTATTTCATTTTCTGCCTTGTGAAAATTCTGTTTCGTTCATGCCTTATTCATGAGAACAAGGCTTAGGCAATTTGGTTGAAGTCGGACTAATGCAGTCTTTGTAATTGAGTGAGTACTTGTTCGAACTCGAAATAGGATGACCCTTAGGTTTTAGTTGAGTGAGGTTGACTTCTCGAACTCAAAACTAAAATGGCCCTCAGGCTCTTGCATTGGGTCGATATAGCCTTAAAAAGAATGGCTTTTCACCCTTTTCGGCTTAGAAAATTAATAATGTAAAAATTTGTTATGCCTTAGCACGAGATAAATTTGTACCCATTAGGGTTTTCGAGGGTTAGTTTTATCGAAACCGTTTGCTTCGTTACGCCTTAGCGTGAAATAAGCTCGTTCGGTAGTTCGAACAATTCGGTACCCCTTAGGGTTTTTGAGGGTTGATGTGATTGAAACCCTTTATAAATTTGCCGAGGGTGGCCTCTAAAACCGGTTTTATGAAAATATTTGAAGGTCTATTTTATTACGGAATTCAGACGTCTCCGAGCCATGTTGGTTTGGCCGTAGCCTTTGACTTGGGATTTTCCTCTTGGGCTTGTTTCCCAGTTATACTTCGAACTTGTTCAAAGTGTTAGTCCCCGAGTGGGGTGGCCGTGGCCTATAAAAATGAGGGTTACCTTTTTAAGTTCATATGATCTCGAGATTTTAATAGTTCGATTACATCGATTTTCCGGACGGCAGTCCCTGAGTATGGGGTAAGTTGTTCGAACTTCAGTTGTGATCGGCCCTTAAGCTTGTTTCCACAACAGACCAAAAGTGAGAAATTGTAAAGTAAAATTTTCTCTAAGGCATGAAATATTTGGCAAGGAAAAATACTTCTTTCAATAGATTATACATGCCTACATATCTGTCTTTAGGGCTCGAGTAATCTACATGGGCACGGTTCGTTTGAGCGTTTGGCCCTTACAGAGTTTTATCTATCGAGACCCTGTTAACACGAAGTACCTTCCTTGTAACAAAGTTAACATCCGAGGGTGATGCCCCTAGTATTCGAGGTTGATAGTTAAGAAGCCTCGGTACTGTCGAGTTGCTCTAAGTTAGCACGAACAATGGTTTCCTCATTAAAAACCTCGCTGGAAAAACCCATTTGGGACAAAAACCAGTCTAAGGGAAAAAGAGTGCAATGCATGCTTTCAGACCTAAGGGCTTTGTGATGAAGGATCCTTCGATATCTTCGGTCGAACACCTACAATCGGTTAGTATACAATATAAATGAAAATGGAGAAGGTAGTACCTTAGCAGTAATATCGTTTGAGGAGTGATATGTTCCAATTGTTTGGTAATTGCGCGTCGTCCATCGTGCCAAGTTTGTAGGATCCTTTTCCGACGATATCGAGGACATGATACAGTGCTTCCCAGTTCGGTCCAAGATTTCCTTCATTTGGATCCCGAGTATTAATGGTGACCTTTCTGAGAACTAAGTCCCCGGTTTAGAGAGTCAAGGATTGGATCTTCGGTTGTAATACATCTCGATTCGTTGTTACTGTGCGGCCATTCGAATGAGGGCGGCTTCCCGCCTTTCATCTAGCAATTTGAGGCTCGTATTCATAGCCTCGTGGTTTGACTCTTCCGTTGCATATCAAAACCTGAAGCTAAGTTCAGGATCAGAGCTTCGGCACCGTAGACTAAAGATAACGGCGTTGCCCCCGTATTGGATTTCGACATTGTTCGATATGCCCAAAGGGTCTCCGGCAATACTTCTCTCCATTTTCCTTTGGCTTCGTTCAATCTTTTCTTCAGATTTTGGATGACGGTCTTGTTTGTCGATTCGGCCTGCCTGTTCCCACTGGGATGATATGGTGTTGACAGGATCCTTTTTATTTTGTGATCTTCGAAAAACTTCGTCACTTTGCTGCCGACGAATTGCTTTCCATTGTTGCATACGACCGCGACAGGAATTCCGAATCGGCATATAATGTGATCCTAGATGAAGTCTATAACTTTTTTTTCTCTTACTTTCTCGAAGGCCTGTGCTTCCACCCACATAGAAAAATAGTCAGTCATAAACAAAATGAATTTAGCTTTACCTAGAGCCGATGGTAGAGGGCCGACGATATCTATTCCCTTTTCATGAACGGCCATAAGGATAGGACTGAGTGAAGTTGCTCTCCGGGCTGGAGGATCATCGGCGCATGATCGGGGCTAACCCTGCACCACTATGGAGTGGCGAGAGCAGTCGAAGCAGCTTTTACCCGAAAAGGTCGGGATCGAATCCGCAGGGAGCTAGAATTGGGGATTAGATTCCTATCTAAACTAGCAATGCGTAAGGTTCTTAATTACGCTTCCAATCATAATTGTTCTTTTGATTACTTCTACTTTTATACTAATGAGATGCTAAATTAAACTAAGAATAAGTACTTGAAAGGTTTCTAATAGGTAACGAGGCACTAGGGAAGTGACTTCCCCCTAGGTGAATACTTGACGGGAATCTAGAGTCTAAGGCAAAGTTGTTATGTTTGGGATCGCGATATAGCCAATGCACGACGCTACTCACTCTATACCTCTCGGTAGCTTGAGTGACTTTGCCCAAATTGACTTTCTCAAGACCAATTGGGTGTCGAAATTATACAAGCAATGTAGGCTCAAGTCGGGTATTACTATCTCTAGATTTAACCCTTTAATTGGGGCTATCAATCTCTTGAGTACGCCCCAATTCCTTGTTGGACTGATTACCTAGACTCAAGCTCTCTTTCTCAAGAAGAGCTCAAGTCAAATAGGCACGAATTAGTGTTTGCAACTACTAACCCAACATAGAAAAGACATATCAGTCCAAATATCAACCACCCATAAACACCTAAGCCTTAAAACACAAGACCCATCTAATACCCACACTAGGGTTGAGCCACAACCCTAGCTAATAGGTCTAGCTACTCATAATAATGCAAGAAAACAGATAATTAGATGAAGAATAACCCATATGATATGCTTACAAGCTAATAATTGAAGATTCAATAATAAATCAACTATAAAATTACTCAAAGTAGTCAAAAACAGCCGTTCACGTGCTCAACTAAAAGTTAGTTACCCTAAAAATCTGAAAAAAGAACTATTTATACAAGGTCGAATTTTCTGGACAAAAATACCCCTGCGAAGGTACCACAGACTGCGGAAAATGCACCGCGGCTGGGGTGAGGCTTTCTAGCTTAATTCTTAGGTCTCTGAATCTGGCCACCGCGGACCGCGGAAAATGCACTGCGGCCGCGGTGGCTTCAATGCGGTCCGCACAAAATGTGTTGCGGCCGCAGTGGCTTCCGACTTCTAAAATCCCAGCTCTCTGAATCTCTTCTCCGCGGACCGCATAAAATGGATCGCGGCTGCGGTGAGGCTACTGTGGTCCGCACAACATGCTTTGCGGCCGCAATGCTTGAGCTTCCAAAATTTTGCACCTCTCTGAATCTCCTTACCGCGGATCGCATAAAATGGATTGCGGCCGCGGTGGGTCTGTTGTAGCTGTGCTTTAACTTGTTCTTGGTACTTGTGCAGGTTTTACTCCTTTTTGAGCTGATTTTTGACCTCTTGTCACTTTCTTGGCCAAACCCTGCAAACAAGTACAACATGTAAGCCTTTGGGACTATTTGTATGCATTTTTAATCAAAACTTAAGTAAAAAGGAGTGTAAAATGAACTAGAATCCCTAGTTATCAACTCCCCCAAACTTAAGCTTTTGCTTGTCCTCAAGCAAACAAAATAAGTCCCACCTCCTTAAGAATACAACCAAGAAAATTCAGCTGACCTAAAGTGACCTCATCTAGCATCAATTGGGACTAACAATTGCCCTCAATTCAAATGAATCATCAATAACATTCAACATTTTAAACACCATGGTTTTAGTGCGACACAAAAGCATCAAGGATTGACTCAACTCATCAAAGAGGCTCTTTCTATTACTTTGGTCATTGTGGAACCCAAACTCATACTCCTCAACTCTCCACAAGCAAACCTCACTTTTAGGTTGTAGCACTCAGAACGAGGATTGTGGAAAACACACTCATCTCTCTCAAAGAAAGGTCACAAGTCCTGCCCTAAGTACCATAAGCTTGCCCCTTATGTGAGTCACCACTAATGTAAGCTTCATTCAACTCAAGATCATATAGGGCTTTTGTGGAGATATAGTGAAGGCTTTTGGTTCAGGGTAGGAAATATTTGGTCTAAGTAGGTTCCATCTTCCCTTAAGCACTTCATTTGCTTTATTTTTGCACACATTCTCTTGACCTTTTAAGTCATTTACTTCTTTCTTAGGGGTTAGAGAGACACATTGTCACTCTTTCTTGTTCATTTCAAACCTTTTTTCTCCTTTCTAAGCTTTCCATGCCTTTCATCACTTTACTTTATTGAATCCCTTCATTTCTTCTATATTGTTCATTCTTTTTGACTTTTTGATTTTCTTTCTTTTTCTTTTTGCCTTTCCTTTTCTTCGCTTTTGTACCTTTTACCACTTTGTTGCATTCCTCGTCTCTCCCCCAAACTTATGCTTTTGCCATGTGCTAAGGAAAGATTGGGTGCCAAGAGCGGGTCTTTTAAAATAGGTAAAGGCTTGTATCATGGTTTTTGAAGGAAAAAGG